AAATAGAGCGCAAGAATATTCATGCCGTCAGCCATTCATATGCACACATCATACAAACAGATATACCTTTTATAAAGATATATTTTCCACTCATATATGCGTTGAAAAACTTATACAACTTTATATCAATTCATTCATTAATTCATTTACATTTTGCCTGAATATTTTTCTTTTGCTTTCATTTCTGTATATGTTTTTAGAGTTTTGATGTTTGAGATTTTGAAGTGAAAGAGAGTGCACAAACACTGCCACATCTCTCTCTCTCTCTCTCTCTCTCTCTCCATCTCCTTAAATTAGTCAACACACATACCAGTGCTCTCATATAACATATATACCTCTCTCTCACACACACTCACATACTCTCTCTCTCTCCCACTCTTATAGTGTACAAAATCGAGTTATTATGTGTTATGTGTCAAACACACAGACATGAAAAGTAAAGCTAGAATCTCGTTCTCACAGAATCTATTTGAAACACATGACAGTACTGTATATATCTGTGCTATGGCTGTACTCTAACTCAATGCCTGCGCCCATACGTGCCTTAATTCTGCTTAATTCTCTGTAATAGTGTCTGACATCCAAACTGTCAATCAATTTACTACAGCATAGAGTCGAGTGAATGTAACAATGATTCGCAAACTTTTGCCTCGTATTCAAAATCTACTTTTGTTTCACATTTAAACACATATTCAATATTATATTGCATTTGTCTATAGAGTAGAGAATATTTCTGTTGGAATATTTAGATTGAATTCAATTCATTGTTATATTATTTAATTGACTAAATGCTATGTCTGTGAAGAGTGAGAGGAGATATAAATCCCGAAAACAGTTTTTGTTTATTTACTTGAATTAAACGAAATGCACAGAAATTGAGGGAAAAGTTATTCGAGAGAATTATTTGAGCCATATTTGAGGTAAAGGCACAGACATTGCATTATTTAGCCAAAAGTGAATCAGATTTTATTCGTCTATTCTGTACTCTATGTGCCCGACCTTCCCATGAGATTACGATGAGAGAGAAGGAGAGGAAACACATCAAATGAATGACTCAGGGAGTAGGAGATGGAGAGAGAGAGAGAGAGAGAGAGAGAGAGTTTGAGATGCATTTCGATAGTATAGACAATGAATTGAAGTCGTGTGTACTTTATATTGTGAGTATTGGCCAAAATAAGGCATACAATTCTGTACAGAATATATGATATATAAAGTAAACCAAACCCTCGTTTGTGTGTTATATATCGACGTATATCTTCGGGCGATGTATTAGTACCAGAGTTAATACACTTATGCCTCGTATTAAATATTATAGCCTTAAAAACAGTCTTTTTTGCATTTATTAGTTAACACGAGCGCACATATTATTATCATTTTTGGGTTAAAAACAGTCACCAGTCATTCAAACTGCTCGTCAGATTTGAGGTGTTATTACTTTCAATCCTAATAACACAAACTGAGGGAAACGTCTGGTAGTTCTGTATTAGTGTTTCAATAATGCTTTTACTGCTGCGAAAGCATTACTTTTTTGTCTTCTATTAGAGTATTAAATGAAAACTGAGAGCTTTTGAGTCATTCGCAGAATAATATTACATCGTTTTGATTGAGCAGACAATGTGTCCGTCCGGTCGACGTTTCCTCTTCATTGGCATATAATAAATATAGGAAATCAAAGTGTGAACCGTTTGTGTGCATCGGAAATGTTAACAACTGTTTTCAATATAAGCCCAGAATTGACTGCACTTTTAATTTTGATGCTTCACTTTTGCATCACTTATATTGTATAAGTTATATACAGTTATGTACTAAACTTGAAATATTAATACCATTTGCAAAACATGAATATTTCATTTCATTGTTTTTGTTTCTGCGATACGTTTTTTTAGTGATAGGGAAACAAAAGTTGTAAATATTATTATTATTTTTTGTATATTCGTTTCGTGAGTTAATTCTATCAGAATATGCATTAATAATGATTGTTATGGGAATTATAAAAGAGAAAAATGATAGTCAGAAATGGAAACAATTCTTATATAGTATTTCTAATTAAACATTTGAAAAGTATTTTTAGTGTCGCATAACATCCAAAACGTGACACCTGTGCTCTGCATGCAAATGAATCCACCCCTCAGTCCATATAATCGTTAAACACTTATACTATAAAATACATATATTCTCCACCAAAAAAAAATGCTCATCAATTTTCACCAGAATTTTTACGCGAATTTTTGTTGAGTCTCTGACACATACTGTGCTCTTCATTGCTGTCTATCTATTTTCATATATACTGTTGAAGTGCCTCTAAATTGAGAGAAAGGAGAGCGAGAGAGAGAGAGAGAGAGAGAGAGAGAGAGCGTGTGTTTGGTCTTTTAGAGGCGAATAATTACCATTTAATGAGATTGGAATCAATGATTAGCACATATAGCGTATGCCATACCATAGGATAGCATAGAATAGTGTAGAATAGCTGTAGTGTTGGCAGTGCTGTGCTGTGAGGCAGTGAAACATGCTTTGAAGCGAGTCTGTTGTGATGATACGGTCCTCCACCCAAAATTGTAAGCCAGCAGAAAGGGTGTGGTTCACCATCATGTATATCATGTATATCATGCACTTCATGAACGTCGTGAACATTATTTGACTTAATACTACAGTTTGCATGTCCTCTATGTTTGCCTGTTTTGTTCATTTTCAGACACACAGTCATATGTATATGAATATAAAGACACGAATTCAATGAAACGCTATGAAAAGCCAAAAACTCATTCAAATGTATGTGTGTTTTGAGGCAATATATGGAAAATATGTGAGAATATATTTAGATATTAAAACATCTTCTGTCATAGCTTTTTGCATGTATTCATGTTTAGTGGGACTACACTTAACATGAATATAACGCATATAACGCTTTAGTATCTTAACGGCAAACTCTCTCTCTCTCTCTCTCTCTCTCTCTCCAAGCGCTCGCATATGTATTCATATATACAGTATATATCATATAATGTAGTAATAGAGTGCATATCTTATGTTATACTAGACACACATCTCTCTCTCTCTCTCTCTCTCTCTCTCTCTCTCTCGTGCTATTGATTCTTCCACTGGGAATGAAATTTTCACTCAACTCTATATACTGTATATAAGCATCACTTTATATAATAGATGAATACAAATATACTACAGGTACGAATAAGTACTGTATATACCGTATAGTACTTCGCACATACAGTATATTCCGCATAATGTATAGACAACACACATATACAGCGCACATATACTCCACTTTTATTTGGATGCACAGCAAAGAGTGGAGAATTTTAAATGTATTTTTACTGACAATCGTTATATTATAGCATATTTGAAAAGATTCACTTCATTGAGAAAGGAATAAAAATATAGTGAAGTTATATGAATATGATCTATGGTTTCCGATAATGTGTGTCTAGTATAACATAAGATATGCACTCTATTACTACATTATATGATATATACTGTATATATGAATACATATGCGAGCGCTTGGAGAGAGTATTACACGTTGAAAGAGACAACTCATCTAAAATTCACACATCTCTATATCTATCCCAGCGGTCCAATCTTGCATTCAAACACAACTGTAAGCACCGACAGTGCAAACGATGAATGCATTACTAAATATTACCTCAATGGCTGGTGTAGACATGTTTGGTATACATTACCTGTTAAGACCCTACCATTATATACACACACTATGAGCCAAACTATTTATTTGGCAATTATTTTTCGGACACCAGTTTTTAAATAGCAATTAATAATTTGTGATACATACGTAAAAATACAAGTAACATTTTTGTGCGCGTTTGGCCAAATTGCTTGATATGAAAACCCATATATAAGTCATTATCGAAACCATTATCTTTACAGCACTTGTATATTAGTTGACATTAAAAGCTAGAGAGGAATAGTAGCGAAACACTGACCGCTAATCTTCAGCAAAGCATATATTGTCAGATGCTTTCAGTTTTAGTGATACTATTTATACTTCAATAACATCTTAAAATGTAATGTCTTTTGCAGTAGTATTGCACTAAAAGGAGATAGAAGTGGAGGATTGATGGGAAAGGGAGAGCACTTGTAATTTATGAGATAATACCGTTCACTGCAATATTGCCAAACAGTTTTGAAGCAATAAAAATTCAAAAGCGTTGATAAATAATGTTTGTATTGATTTCATTCATTGTCGAAATAAATTGAAAGAAATTGCATCCAAATAGTAATTGTATTAAATATTCTTTGATTGTATTGACAGCTAATTTTGTTTCTCATAGCAATTAGAGAGAGAGAGAGAGAGAGAGAGAATTTTGTCAAGTAAATTATATATGGCTAAAATCTAATACTGTGCTCCTGTACACATTAACTGGACGATGAGAGAATCTTTTAGCAAGTACATATTAACGAGATAGAGAGAGAGAGAGAGAGAGAGAGAGAGAGCAAACAAGCCGCTGGCGAATCACAAATCCAAACGTTTCAATGACTGAGAGTAAATAAAATGAGCGCTCATTCATATGTATTAAACATAAATTGCAAAACTCTGTGCTCTAACGCAAACACATTCACAGAATATACATAAAAACATTGAAGAATATCTTTTTGAAAACATTGCCTAAAGTGAAGAGACCTTAACGTTGAATGTTATGCTAAATACATTGGCATTCAAAAGCTATTCATATGTAAAACCATGAGATATATTCGATACGTGTATAAACGCTCGCATTTCTTAATGTATTGTAATTTAGTGTTAAAACTTTATTTCATTGCAAAGACCCAGTGCTGGCGTTTGAGACAAATTTAACACAATTGTTGTAACAATGATCAGCTAATACTCACTATTTCTGTTATACACTCAAAACATATTGCTATCCATTATTGCTTTGCTCTCAATATACAGTATTAGTTGCTTTGCTTTGGTGTACACTCTGTATGCGTTGGCAAAGGAAATGGTCATAAAGCGAATGGAAAGACAATATATGGCACTTGTATTGCATTATTCTGTTTATTAGGCGCTGCTCTTCACTGTTGTGTCGATCCATTTGACGTTGACTTTCATGTCGGTCACCATTAATCTTCATTTTCGGAGCTCAGCGTCGTTTTCAATGCCTTCCCAATACGTTATACACGTTATAGGTGTACAAAATGCTCAAAACAATACATACTTTTATTATGCCATTACAGTTAACTATAGATTTTATTTACAATGAATGACAAACAAATATGCATATAGACTATGATATAACACTTACAACTAAAGCCACTTCCATAGGGAATAATATTAAAATGTATTGATTGGTATAATCAAAACGATAAAACCAAATATATAGTGATTATATGTGTATGCATTGGTTAAAGTGCGAAAAGTAAATCATTTCATAACATCCATTCACTACTGTATGTGTTATTTCTGGCAATCAAAACAATATGTAGTGATTTTGTCAAATAAGAAGCTTTGAGGGGAGAGGGACTCAAATTGGCCGAGAAAATTGCCTCATCCTCTTGTAATACCAGCTAATATTTTTAACCTCAATTCTGCATCAAAATTGAAGTTTATAACATCAAACCAACGCATCCCTCTCCTCCCTCTCCCTTCATCCACTATATGGTCATAATATACTATCTCTGTTTAATTCGACCACTATCCTTTAACATGGGGGCTAACGTTATCCTATGAGCTATGCTGAACTATGGGAATGTTTTTAATGAGATATATCAAGTACATTAATTTTTAACTTGCTTTACCCGAATAGAGGCTGACATTTAGCATTGTTTGTATATCTTGTTTAACATTAAAATATGCATTGAAGTGAACTTAAGCACCAAACCTTAATCTATGCCTAATATCGTATAAAGTACTACAGATTTGTTGCCATTTCTATTATTCTTTGCATTTACAATGAGATCAATTTTTCAAACAACAAAACCATAGTTCAATATTTGATGCAAAATATTGTCATTTATTTTAAGCTTTTTTGTTATTTCTTTATTTTTTTAAATTTAAAATTCAATTTTGAATTGAATGTACTTTAAGAGAAAATGTTATTTTAAATATTTAATGCATTGAAATAAATATATTTTGAAAATCAAACAGTAGTCACATTGGATTGGATTGTCTGCTTGATTGCAAAGACATTACTTAATCAATAAAAATATCGTAAACATTGAATTTCTGCTTAATTTTGTTTAAAACAAATACTAATGTAATTATTATTTTTTGGTTGAGTTCTAATCAATTGTAGTTTGAGTTAAGCTTTTATTTGTTTATTACATAATGACTTGTCCTCACCCAACCTCTGCCTCTATTGCTAGAAATAGAGGACAATCTTTACGTGTGTTTGCAATAAAGTAAATATTATATTCACTTCTGCTATATATAGAGTAAATGCAATTGCAATGGCATTGTGTTCATCCAACCTGATCCATCTAATGGTGTTTACCTAACTCACTCAAACTCGCCCTCTCCTCTTCCCATGTATTCAAGCTTTTATTTTTTAATAATGTATATACACTACCAATTCTACCAAGTTTATATATACTGTACTGTATATACTCAATATATATTCTGTATATTTATATTATATACACACACATGTCGATTGAGTGGTTGTATGTATTGGTAGAACATTATATTATATACGATCGACACAAATATTTTTATTTAATAATCGTATTCACTATCCATACAATACAGTCCACAACACCTTTCTATTCAATCATAAACTCATCCACTTTTTTGAACTTCATATATATTTTCACCACAAATAATGTTTATGTCTTACAGTATGAATGCACACATAGATGAGAGAGAGAGAGAGAGAGAGAGAGAGACGCGATGTGTTTTCAGTTGCTGTGATGTATCCAAGCTTTTCAAATATAATATAAGATTTAAACATGAATTTTATAGAAATGTTAATATTATTCGCATTGAATTGTAAAGATTGTGTTTTTTGCTTGATTTGCAGGTTTTTTCTCAAATTCTTCCTAAAATGTAACCAAAACTGTTTGAAAAACGCGGGAAACCCGAGAGACATGAGACGCTTTCAGGTATGAGTGGTTCACAAAATTCAAAACTTCATTATTATTTATGAAATTGTATTGACTTGAGAGATGAGATGTGACTCGACTTTCTCTCATTCACTCCTATGGGAACTCTTCTGCTTATCTTTTTTGAGAATAAAAAATATATATAAATTTCGTGAACAGACTTTTGAAACGCTATGTACTGTATGTATGAGTTTGTGTTTCACGAATGGAAACTCAACCCATAATCTGATGCTCTTATTGTTAAAAAGAGTCTCAATTCGTATTCATAGAGAAAACCACTTTTAAGACTTGAAAACTATTTTAATTAAGTCACAGACATATCATACTCCCTATCCTGTAGTGTAGGCTATGCTAGCAATACAAACAAATAGTGCAGTCAATAGTATCACACAGGGATCGTGACTAATGCTAAACGGCATAATGCATGACATTTTTTTGTCATGTATTATACAATGTATAATACCGTAAAGTTTTCGTTCAAAACGATAACTTTTACCTCAGTTTATTAAATTTAGAAATAGTTGTTCAAAGATGTTCTCTTAGGATTATCATTATCCATACAAAGAGCATTAGTCCCATAGGATTAACACACTGTCCATTAGGGATGGCAAGAATTCGGTGACATTTTCATTCAAACAAAATGTTCACAAAATTATTAAATCTGGATATATTTAATAATCGCATATTTTTATTAGATGGACATGCTTATTCACAAACCAATTAGAATATTTATAATTTTTAATAGTAATTACAATACATTTAATTCTCTTAATAACATGAATAGTCTAAAGTTTTATGACATTTTGTAGATTTCTTGATTAATACTTGACTTTTAAAACTAAATTCAAAAACCTAATAATATTTAATGCTTCCGATAATGTATTTATGATTACTAATCATTGATTAGTGTTTAGCTAGATATTCTTTCATTTTACAATTTTTTAAAACCCATTGATTATTTCTAATAAAAATTAACCTTGAACAAATTTCTAGAATTTTGTATAGAATAGTTGATACAATGATTTTAACCTCAATTTAGCGATAAAAAGTAGGTTTATAAAATTCAACTATTACAATAATCAAGATGTTAAGCCTATGGCCTAATGCTATTCTTATGGGAATACTATTATCAGATATTTCAAATAACTAACGGATTACAAGTTTTATAATAAAAAAACAAAAATACTTTAAAAATGCAAGTTTTGTCGACCCGATTAACCCTAAAGAGGTTGAATTATTGCTTTGATTTCAAACCTTGTTTCACACATTATATTGTATAATTCTTATGCATTTATATAAAACATTTCTTTTTGTAAATATCAACAAAAATAGGTGATTATAGCCACAGTAGTGAGTGTTGAGTCAACACTATTAGCCGTTTCGGACAATATGTTTGTTCACAATAACTCAAAACACGGCCGAAGAGCGAAACGATTGGACGCCTCCGAAGGTAATTGTGTATTAAATAATGACTTGATTTATGTTTCGACAAATACTGGTTTCGTGTTTTAATTGATATATTTTACAATAATTGACTGGAAGAAGAGTATTAGGTTTTATACCGAAATATTTAAAAATTGAATAAATTATTTTATGAATAAATTTATCACATGTTATATCAATCGTGAGAGGAATAGAATTGTGAGGAATTTCTTAATTCTTATGTATTAGAAAACATTCTAAAGGCAAAGATTCCAACACTTAATACATGTTATATGTTATTTATATATTCCAATAAGATTGATATTAATTTTATTAGTTAACAAATTCAAAAATTAAAAACAAATGGTCACTAGGTCATATATTAACCACACTTCTATGGGATAGCAAACATGGTTCTTATTCATTTATATTATATTAGGTGTTATATAATACTATAGAAGAGTAGAGCTATTTGTTAGAAATAGGAAGAGAGAAAAAACACAATTTATATACAATTGAAGACTTAAATAGTGAAAGAAATGGTAAGTTCTTAGAGTTAAACTTAATAGGATTAATAGACCAGCTTTTCGACCTTATATTCACTTTGAATGCAATAAAAATAATATATTTTCAATATATAGTTATGGCTGTGAAGTAGTGTATAGTATCCATCGGTAGAGCACTGGTTATATGTTAGACAAAGGGAGCGAAAATGTGTGACAAAACCAATTGAAGTGAATTGTCGCTTAACTCAATGGAAAACTTTTAACACTCCGTAATATGAGACCAGCCTTAAGGACACAATAGGACAGGAATGTAGACGTGTCTTATTTTACGATTAGATATGGTCTCCCACTGCGCTCTGCACAGTACAGGCCCTCTCCGAGTGTCAAATATGGCCATTAGTTTTTTCTTATTTAGTTTTCTCCTTCTTTTTCTCTTCAATAATATCCAGATATTGTATTTGTATTTCGGAACTAATTTATTCAATTCATGCTTTCAGTTCCCTTTACAGCCACTCCATGTATTAAAGCCATCAGTCCTACCGAGGGCTGGACTTCTGGCGGCTCTACTGTTATCATAATCGGTGATAATTTCTTTGATGGATTGCAAGTTGTTTTCGGAACAATGTTGGTATGGAGTGAGGTATGTCTGCCCAACAAACACACAACACATCTCCACTAATCACAGCATTCATAACATTTTGCTTTTCAATTGACTTTTCATTAAAGTTTGTCACCGCACACGCCATTAAAGTACAAACCCCTCCGAGACATATACCCGGTGTGGTTGAGGTGACCCTGTCGTACAAATCCAAACAGTTTTGTAAGGGAGCACCAGGCAGATTTGTTTATGTCTGTAAGTGTACGCTACTTTATATGATATGTTCAACTCATTAAAACCATATGTAATCATTTATTTCAAATGAATGTATATTTAATTTGACTATTTTTGAAATGAAATATTACTTTAATCAATCAAATTGTCGACTTATCATCGCTTAATAAATTATTAAAATATATATTTTGTTAAGAGAATAGCATAACATTCACCAGAACTGTAGAGACTGTTTAGGCGATTGTATAGGAATTGAGTTTACAAAATACAATTTATTATTAGTTTAAAACACAAAATACTTCACTTTTTATTTCAAGTCTATATTTCATTTATTCTTCTGGTTCTGCGACTATTTGTCAGAATCTATGCCAGTATTGCGACCCAAAGTATCTGCAAAGTATCAAATACACAGAATTTATTTAAATTCATATCAAACTCTATGGCAAATACTATGAAAAATTTGTTTTGTATTTTAAATTAATCTTTTTTCCAAATATATTCTTTATTACAAAGCAATAAATAACTTCTCTGTCAGTCCTTAGCCTTTAATCTTCAAAACCGTTATTTCATTCAATGCTATATAACGTGAATAAAACATAGGAATCGAAATAAAACAGAAAGAGATAGAGAATAGGAGAGAAAATTTTGATTCAAAAAACACACATTTTATGTGAGAATTTGATAAAAGCATAGATAAGACGACCGAAACTAAACGCGAAAATGAGATTCAAAACTGAATTCAATTACCAGTGCTATCATAGTCTCGATTCTCTGCTCTAGTATTTCTCTGCATTTCATATTGTATTCATTTCTTTAAATTTAAACAGTTTTACACTGAATACAGAATTCAATGCTAATATCGATTTGTATTAATCCCTAAACAGCATTAAACGAGCCAACCATAGATCACGGATTCTTGAGATTAGCCAAACTTATTCCTCGACATCCGGGAGACCCCGAAAAACTTCCAAAAGTATGTTTTTAATGAAATGATGTGTTTGTTTCGCAAAATTCAAAGATCAATGTTTACTCTAAATCAGGAGATAATACTGAAGAGAGCGGCAGATTTGGCGGAAGCGTTGTATAGTATGCCGCGTAACACACCGTCACAATTGGCAGGACTGCCGGCTCCGCGATCGCCGGCCAGCGCTCTGAACAACGTGGCGGCGGCCGCAGCCATGTCCGCCGGATTCAACGCGGCCTATGCCGCCAGTGCAGGTCAGCTCAGCTGTCCTAATGATCAGAACACACTCTATCATCAGAACCCACCGTCCAATGCATGCTTGGGTTCATACGACAGAGTGACCGCATATAACACATCCCATAAACCGATGCCCACATCACATGTTTATTGTTATGTTTACAACGGTATCCAAATATTATAGACAATTTATTTTCACTTTTCCACTCACTTATAAACTCATTTGTTTTCTCCCCTATTTTTTGGCCCCACACTTAAGACTTAATTCAAGCCTATTATCCGCTCGTTGTTTATATGTTTTCTTTTTGTTTCAAACGTTATATCCATATAGAAAAACATAACACATATGCAACTGATTTGTCATTTGGGATTTTGTATTGAAATTTATTAATGACTGTTTAATATCTTTCTATTGGTTCTAATAGATTACAACAGGACTCAAGCGAGTAGTGTATCGCCGAGTCGTGGGTACGGCTCGAACGCGTCGACCCCTCACAGCAGTAGTGGCGGCAGTTCTTATGGCGGGAACGGAACCACAGCCACTATGAATGGCGGGTACGGCAGTCCACCAACCAATATGTCTACACCAGTCCCCGGCTCTCCCGGACTATTCAATGGTTTGCTTCATTTTCATTGCTCTTTTACTTCTAATATATTTATTGCAAAATAAATATAAATTGAAATTTGTTGCGAAATATTTAATACAAGTGACTAACGTATGATAATGTCTGAATTGGTTGATAGGTATGGGTAGTATAGTGTCCGCCTCGCCCTTCGCAGCGATGAATCCGTTTGCATTGCCGACGTGTAACGGCCAGTCGTACGGCTCATCAATTGTTTCATCGACCAAATGATGATCAAAACTGAGTGATCAACTCTTTATTAAAATCATTTACATATTAAGAGACAAAAAATAAATAAACCGTTGTTTTTATTGGACGCACATATTATATATTGAATATTATATTATATTCTATATTATAGTGTATATGATATGAGAAATTGTAATTCATTTTAATTTAGAGCAAACTTTGTAATCCGTTAGTTATTTGAAATATCTGATAATAGTATTCCCATAAGAATAGCATTAGGCCATAGGCTTAACATCTTGATTATTGTAATAGTTGAATTTTATAAACCTACTTTTTATCGCTAAATTGAGGTTAAAATCATTGTATCAACTACGGTATTCTATACAAAATTCTAGAAATTTGTTCAAGGTTAATTTTTATTAGGAATAATCAATGAGTTTTAAAAAAATTGTGAAATGAAAACAAATACTCTATCTGAACACTAATCATAAATATATCATCGGAATCATGAAATATCATAAGATTTTAGAATTTAGTTTCAAAAGCCAACTATTAATCAAGAATTCTACCAAATGTCATAAAAATTAAGACTATTCATGTTATTATGAGAATTAAATATATTGTAATTACTATTAAAAATTATAAATATTCTACTTAATTTGTGAATTACCATGTCCATCTTATAAAAATATGCGATTATTAAATATATCCAGATTTAATATTTTTGTGAAAATTTTGTTTGAATGAAAATGTCACCGAATTCTTGCCATCCCTAATGGACAGTGTGTTAATCCTATGGGACTAATGCTCTTTGTATGGATAATGATAATCCTAAGAGAACATCTTTGAACAACTATTTCTAAATTTAATAAACTGAGGTAAAA